CCCTGGTGGCCCCGCCCACTCTTGGCCCGAGGCCCCGCCCCCAGGCCCCGCCCCCAGGCCCCGCCCCCAGGCCCCGCCCCCGGCGCAAGGAGGCGGCTCCGTGCGGGGCAGCCGGTTTATTGGCGGCTATTGCTGGTGCTGGAGACCCGGAGCCGACCCGGAGCCGGGAGCCGGCCCCTCCGCTCTGCAGCGCCTGCCTCCCGGCAGACCCTGCCGGGCTGGGGCAGCGCCAAGGCCACGCGGTGACAGTCACAGGTCGGACCCGGGAGCAGCCGGGCTCCGTGTAGGAGGGCAGGGGAGTTGCTGGCGCTCCTCAGTGCCGAGGAAGAGGTGCTTGACCTTCATCTGCCCGCCGCCCGTGAGCGGGAGGTAAACACGGAAGAAGGAGCTGCAGTGAAGGCAGAGCCGAGAGGTGGAAGGGTCACGGGTGGCATCAGCAGCTCGTGGCCACCGCCTTCCTCCTTCATTCCGCCTTTTAGGTGCTGGTTTTGGTCCTCCTGAGCCCTCGAGGAAACATCCCCAGGCTCCAAAGGGGAGCTGCTCTGCAAGGAGCTGCATTAAAGTCCTCCAGAAAGCACAGAATGGAAGGGCTGCCTCCGGCGTGCTAAGGAAGGCCTGGTCCCGAAAGGGCTGATACTGGAAAGGTTCAGCAGCAGTCTGTGATTTTGGTCTCTTTTTAGTTTTGTTGCAGCAGAACGTAGTAAAGTCCTGACTTTTTCCTCCTTCCAGCTCAGCACATATGATCCGAGAGAGGCTCTCCACAGGGACGCTCCTTCCCTTGCGCCGATTTGCGCTGACACAAAGCGCCTGCTTTTATTGCAGGGCTAGGAGGAGACTATCCACGTGACCAGCAGGAGATCCCACTGAAATTCCTTCCTAGCCCAAGGGCTTGACTGGCTTTGATCCAAAGCATTAGAACGCAGAAACCATAAGGAAGAAAATGCTCCATGTTAAACCGCGTTTACCAAAGCCTGGGCTACAAAAGGAACAGGCTTCGCACAAGCCATCCAAGAACAGAGAGACCCCACGGAAGCGGACAAAGTGGGGACAAGAGTCCAGAAGTCCCTGATTTTGGGGGTTACAACCAATTCTCTGCCAGTGCCAGCTGACCCTCTCGTTAGGACTGTTTCTGCAGCAAGTTTTCTGGGCAAAGGCTCCCTAAAAAGCCAGAAACTCCGGCTAGAAACTATGCTAGGCCGCTGCTGCTGCCGGCCTCCAAGTTCTGCTATGTTTTTCCTGCAGTTTTCTTATTGCTGAACAAACTCTACATTCACCAGCAGGAAAGCAACCAATTCCACCACTTCCTCTCATCACTACCGACAAAGCAATGGCTATTCCAGCCAGGAATCCCTATTCCTAAAGCATGGAATGCCTGATTTCCATTTCGAGGTGCGTTCTGCTGCGCTCTGCAGAGTGGTGCCCAGCACGGGCTGCCTGCACAAGGCAGTGAGCTCTGCTGCTCCCTCTGGCACCAGCCAATCCTCCTGGCAAGTGTCTGTGAATACTTGGATGGATGGGAATCGTCAGGTAGGAGCGAGCCAGAGGAGGTTGCTTCACACAGAAAATGAGACAGAAGTAACATTTCAAGGCACCTGGGTTTATGCTACAGACGATTTCAGCTCAGCATCCTAAAGTCTGCCAGGAAATAATGAGCAGCCTCTTCAGACACTTTTATCCTGATATCTCCCAACAGTTTTGGATGGAATCCCCTATTCTGGGCAGCTCTGTCTTATCACGAGGAAGAACTTAGAGCAAAACCAAAGTTTCCCACCACGAGGCCCTCTGAGGACAACGACAGCAATAGGCCGCTCGAGCTCCACCGCGCAGCAGCTTCACTGATTCTGCAATCACCAAACAAGATCATTCCAGTGCCCGCAGGGCTGCTGCAGGGGCTGCACGTAGGAAAATCACTCATCTTCCAGCCACGCAGACCTCGCCCCTCCACATTCCCAAGACATTTGCTGTGGTTGCTCATGATTAATGCTCCTCCCCAGCCAGGTCATTTGTTGTGGTTAATCCTAATTAAACATCCTTCCCAAGAGCTGGGGATTCCTTGATGGCTGCCACCCCGCAAACTCTCCCTGTTCACACCGATGCCAAAGTCATCCTCCCTGCCTGGCCGTGGCTCTGCATGGCCGTGCGTGTGCAAGCAGGCTCCAGGCTGTGCAGTTCACCCCATCTAATCCTCCTAGTACACGTTCTACTCCAAATCTTACTTAATACATCAGGTAAGCAAGCGTGTCCCCCAGGGGTTAGGTCCATAGTTAGGTCCCGACTACCATAGTCGGGACTGAGCAGCCCAGGGAGGGGACAGGAGAAGTGACAGTCACCAGAGCCCGCAGGGTAACACACCCTTTGGTCTAGCGTGTGGCTAACTCGGAGGAAGAACGTCCTACACCATAAATAAGCAGGCAAAGCTGTGATGGGAACTTGAATAATTCCCGCTTTTTGGTCACAAGAATCCCACCGCAGAACACCAGCCGAGCAGTTTGACCTGGACAGCTTCTAGTTAATACATCACAGCTCAGGTAAAACAGAGAACATGAGCTGGTCACACCATCTCTTGCTCCAGAGACGGATCATTCAGGTCCAAAAGGCTTAAAAAGCATACAAAGATGGAAGCCTAGGAAGCTCCACTTCCCACACATTCTTAGGTGAATTTCCACATTCTCCTTTTTTCTCCAAGGACACTAGGACACCCCAGCTAGACTGACAACACGTTGCCAGCCTGAAGACATTCCTCCTTTAAGGAGAGCCTCAAATCCTGCACACGAGAAGCAGGAGAAACAAACTGAGATTAACTTCAGCTCTAAAGTTGACCCCAAGCTCCATAATTCGACAATTTACACAAATGAGCCAAAACAGAAATATTATCAGACTGACTCAATGACTAACCTGGATTAACTCCCTTTTTCTTTTATCTTGCATTTCTAGTGGAATCCCTGGCAAAATACACATAAAGCAATTCCCAGGAGCAGTTCAGGCTCCTGGAAGCAGAAGGAAGATTCCTGCACTGCATAGAACATGAATCAGTCTCTTACTTCCCACCAGGGAACATAAAGCTGCACCCTACAAAGCAAACCCAGTCATGCTACAGACTAAACCACTGCGCAGTGAAAGGCCATTATCCAACTGGGCTAGGGATCTGCTCTTCAGGTGCTGCTGCCTAACTGAAGGGGGCAAATTTTCATGCCAAGCAACAACTTACTGAAACAATCTGACCTCTCACAAGAGGGTAATCAGTCACTCCACTGGTCAAACACCTGAAGCACTAAAAGTGCAAACTAACTAAAAACAAAACAAAAAAGTAACAGCAATAATTTTCTAACAGAGCCTCCAATCCATAACCTAACCAAGGTACCAGAAGGTATCCAGGAATGGAGCAGGACAGAGGCAGGGTACATGGGAATGTTGCATAGGGAAGCGCTGTAGGGAGGTTTCCTCTACTTTCATGAGCTGCCTTCTTTTCTTCGTGTTTTCAGTCTCACACGAGGAGAAGAGGTTTGGCGAGAAGCCTTGCTGCACGAGACAGTAACTCGGGTCCCTCTCCGGATATCCGGAACGGCTCGCAGTAGCACAGCACATGTAACAGTTACTGCCCTCCGTTGTAAGCGTAGTCAGCCTTGTTGTGCATGATCAGCTTGTTGTCCACAAAGTAGAAGCTGTCTGAGCGCGTCTCGTAGGGGTTCTCGACCATCAGGCGGACTGTGAAAGAGAAAGCTCCGTTATGCTCCAGTACAAAGGGCTGCCGCACTCCACAGGGCAGCGCAAAGTCAGAGGAAAAAGGAGGCTGCCGCTTTGCTGCATTTACAAGACTGATGCTCTAGAGGATCCAACCGCACTGCCGAGCACTTCAAAAGCTCCGTCCTGCCCTTTCCATCCTCAGGACAAATGCAAAGAGGTGGAGACAGGAAACAAGGAGAAGTTGCTGCCTGCACGTCCGCGCCTCGGCCCCCAGCCCGCAGCCACAGCAGGGCCCACATCCTCCTGCTCCAGCCACAGCTCAAGCTCACACGTAGCAGCAGTCACGCGCGACCGTGGAGATCTTGCTAGCTCAGAAACCCGTCCCTCAGAGAGCCAGGGCTGACCCAGAGCAGGAGGACCCAGCTCTGACAAGCAAGTGCTGAAGACACACGGGTGGCTACCGAGAGCACTTTTTTTTTCCCCAGGGTTTTGCTCTCATCTGGACTTCTACACTGTTAGGCACATCCTGAGCAGCCCTTCTTGCCACCTGTGCCTTAACACGGGTTCTTTTTAAAAGATGGAGAATTTGCAGCACAAAGCTGTGACTCCGACGCAAGACTGAAACCAGAAACCAGCGTCTATCTGTTGCTGCCCCTCTCCCCTCGTCACGACTGTTTCTCCGTAAGCGGAGAGAGAGATGGAGACAAGTTAAGGCAAAGCAGCTACTTACTGAGGTCTTCCGAGAGCTGAGGGAATTCGTAGATGTGTTCGCACGTGTTCCTGCTGCTGGGGATGCAGAAGCCAAAATCGAAGTCAAAGTTCTTCAGCAGGCGATCTCGGAAGTAATGTCGCTCAATCATTCGGAAGTTTGACACCGGCTTTTCTCCCACTGTGAATTCCACGCTGCGGGCAAAAAGCGGGAAAAGACACCTAAGGCCACTGCCTAAGGGAAGGACAGAGCCTTGGACCTGAGGCTACGTGAGAACACAGCAAATCGTCCAGAAAGAGTTTGATATTTGTATGATAAAACGGAGTCTCTCTAATCCCTCGCTCAATTCAGTTAGAAACTAGTGATTCTTGGTAAAACAAAATGTTTATCCCTTTCTGTGAACCCATACTCACGTTGCGCCAACAGTCCGAAGACGGAGAAATGCCGGGGTGAACTGGTACCGAACAAAGCGGCCTGCGCTGGCATCGAGCTCGCCGCTGTCATCTGCATCTTCTTCATCTTGCTCTAGAAAATGCACCAAGCCAGAGTTATTCTGCTACCAGCTTAACTGCTAACAAGTGCATCAGGGCACGCTGGCTGTCACTCAGGCAATGAGCATAAAGGTGTTGAAAAATTAGCCTGGGACTCTGTGGCACTAAGAAATAAATCTATAATGAAGGTTATGTGAGATTTGACACAGCTTTGGTAGCTCTGGAGCAGAACCCCCCCTTTGCAGCCTCACAGGCAGCCAAAGCATATGGAAAGCAGCCAACAAAAAAGGGGAAATTCCCAGTTGATGGTATCCCCTCTTCCCACTGCCGCCACTCCAGGGTTTTAATCACACAGCCGGGAAGCTTCTCAGGAAGGTCCCGCGGTGGAAGCAGAGGGGTTGGGTGGCCAGGAGCAGTGCGGACCCTCCCCGCTCGCTCTGCCGGCTCCCTGGCTGCAGCTCCGGCTCCGCAGTCGCTCCGCGCGTTCCTGGCACTCACCTGCGGCGGACGGCTTTGCGATTTCAAACAGCACCGTCCCCGTTTCCAGGTCCCGGATCTTGAACCTGGTGAAGTCGATGTTGTAAATGTTGTCTTCGGGTTTGCACAAATAACCTAGGAGAGGAGGAAAAAACACATAGCAGGAGATCTCGGAGCAGCTTTCAAACCAGTTTCCTCTCTGTTGGTCCAAACCACCCGTTCCGCAGCAGTCTCGGCAGAGGGGAGGGCACAGAGGGGAGAGCGCAGAGACGCACGGAGCCCGGCAGCGAAGCGGGACGGCGGAGCGGGGCAGGACACGGAGCTGCCCGGTCCCAAAGCCCCGCGAAGCTCCAGCCCGGGGGAGGCCGCGGCCGGCCCGGCCCAACGAGGCGCCGGCGCCAGCGCGGCGGCCGCTCCGCGAGGTTCGAGGCGGCGCTCGGCGCACCCGGCCCGGCCCGCACTCACTCTCCGTGACCCGGCACAGCCCCAGGACGTGCTCGGGCCGCACGGTCTCCAGCGCCAGCAGCTCGGATTCGGTCCAGGGCGCTCCGGCCCGCGGGGGAGCCGCGTCCGCCGAGCCGCGCCGGCCCCGCAGCCGGCTGAGGGCGCCGCCGACCCCCGGCGGCGGCTTCTTGTCCGGCCCCGCCGCCGCCGCCGCCGCCGCGCGCGCCTTCGAGCCGCTCATGGCCCCGCCGCCGCCGCCAAGATGGCCGCCGCCGCCCGCCGTAGCTATGGGAGCGAGGGGCGGGGCCAAGGCGGGCGGGGCCAAGGCGGCTGCCTGGCAACGCGGGCAGCGCCCCAAGCTAAGCAGGGCCCGCCGCGGGCGGCGCCTGGAGGGGAGACTGCGGGCGCCGGCGCCAGCTCATGCCCGTCCTGCCTGCTCGCCCATCGTCCCCGCTAAGCGTGGCCTAAGCCCCCGGCCTGCAGTGCCACATCACTCCTTAGCTTAGTCTCAGGTGGAGGCCTCCAGCACAGTGAGAAGGGCAAGGAACAGGGAGCTTTGGCCCCAGGCAGCCCCATCCTTTTTGAAAAGGTTTTTGCAGCGGTTTTCCCACCAACCAAGGCCTCGTCACGCAGGTGGCTCTGGTAGCGGTAACCAGGAGGCAGCCACAGGGCCCCAACAAGACACCCCTTGATCCCTCTCCTGAGGCCTCAGCAGCATGGAGCAGCCTCCCACCTTCCCAGGACCTCCAAGGCCTGGATGGAGGCACCCTGGTGCCTCCTCCATCACCGGGAGACCCGGGAATGGCCCCGGGGCAGGGCTGGCCCCTCCAACAGAGGCCACCGTCCCCACAGGACCCGCACAGAGCGTCCCCCCGGCACAGAGCAGCTCGCTGGCCCCAAGTGACAATATAATCTCCTTTATTTTCCTCGCAGGCGCCACTGGCGAGCGCAGCCAGGCGGCCGCTTCCAGAGCATCCCCTCACCCGCACGTCCCAGGGGAAATTAAAAAAATTAAACGGCTACCAAGTACCAAAAATAAAACACCCCCCGCCCCAACACGGCCCCGGCCGGCCGTGAGCAGCCAGGCTCTGCGCCCCGGCCCAAGGCAAAACCACCTGGGAAGAAGGAAAAGTCACTGCAAGTTGTTATAACACAGAGCAACAGGCGGTTGGGAAAAGAAAACCCTCCTTTAAAACCTTGCGCGCAGGTGGGGAGGCCCCGGAGGCCTCTCCTGCCCTTGAGCTGCTCCCGGCCCTGCTTGGCCCTGGCCTTGAAGTCTCCATCATGCAGCCTCCGAGCCGAGACCTTTGGTGTTTGCAAAGGATCATTCACATTTTCTAGATCAGCCAGCGCTGTTTCTAGGAGTTTCTAGCACTTTTTTTTTTTCCTCCCTCTTTTCTTTTTTCTCTCTTCAATAAAGCACTTTCTGGAAAAAAAAAATAAATCAAAACCTATTGATAACCCGCAATCGTGTCCCACCGCTCGGCCCGGGGGCAGCGCTGCCTCTCCCCTCGCCCTCCCCATCTCCCCCCATCTCCAAAAATAGTATTTAATATACAGCAATAAACTCTGCACAAGCCAGAGTCCCGGAAGACATGGACCTGCCTCCTCCAGCCCCACTTCCCCGCCGTCGCTCCAGGGCGAAACGCGGATGCTCCAGCCTGCCGGAGCGGCGCATGGAGCCGGGATGCGGCACGGAGCCCGTGAGGACGGGCCGGAGGAGCCACGCTGCTGGAAAGAGCATCCACGAGTCGCGTTCGGCCTCGGCCTTTGCTGGGATGCAGGAGCACGGGAGGTGAATGAGCTCAGCGCTGGCCCGGCTCCCGCTTCCCGCTGCGCTCCTGGGTCGTTCCCTCCCGGCTCCGTGAGCAGCAGGGAGCTCTTCCCACGTCTGAGTACTGGGAAACACTTGGCTGCTCCAATCCGTCTTGCGCCAAGAGCGGAGGCTGCTCCTCTCCTCTTCCCGCTGCTTCCCACCAAAACAGGCCCATCCAGGCCAAACCTCTGTCGTCCAGACGCGTCCCTGGCTGCCGCTGTCCCGTTTGATCCCGAGGGAATGCCGAGGCACAAGGCACATGGCGCTGCTCCCGATTCGCGGCCTGTCGGAGAGCGGGACACCCTTGGGCACCCCAGGGAGGCCTCCGTGCTGCCTGCGGGACATCCCGGGAGACCAGACCCGAGGAGGCTCTTCCAGTTCTTCTGCCCCAGCTGCTCTTTCATTCCATCGACCTGGATCCCAAGGGATTTACGTGCAGCTCCGTGCTTCAATGGGGACCTCTGGAGCCAGCATCAAGGGAGAGCAAGACGGTCCCGGGCGAGCGCGGGCAGGGCAGGGCTGTCCCTGGGAAAGGAAGCCTCGGGAGCTCCCTAAGGAAAGCAGCTTCTTCGAACGGACTTTTACTCAAAGCCCAACATAAAGGCACCAAAAAAAGAGACGGGAATTTATTTGGCTTTCTGCTCATTGCCACCTGGGGTTCCCCCACGGGCCGGAGCTGTTGTTCCAGTCTCTCCACAGAGGGGAAAAACGGAAGGCCTGGCGTAAAGGGACAAGAGTTGGGGAGCAAACAGTAAGGGACAACTGTCAGCTGCAGCCCACAACCCTGGATAGAGCGGAGGGCTGGGAAAGGAAGGAACACAGGCATTAGAGCCATGGTTAGAGCAGGGCGCAGATCGCCCACAGCGAGGGCATCCATCAGGGTTGCCTCGTCCATCCCTATCCACACAGAAACCTTGGGAACGGAGCTGGGGCTGATCCGGCTGCTCCTTCCCGCTCCCGGCCCCACAGCGCAAAGTGGGAGCCGTGCTCCTGCCGGCACCAACCTCCTGTGTTCCCACATGCTTCCTTTCCTTTCCAAGGCAAACCTGACAGGGAGACGGACCGAAACAACTGCTTGCAGCACTGGAATGGGGTCAGGAAACCCCAGGATGGTCTAAGGAGCTGCTGCCAGCTTTGCACTAGTCACGGGGACAGGTAAATCGGAGCCCAAACAACTAAACTGAAGCCAACAAGGCTGAGAGGCCTCCTCCTCCTTTCCTTGTTCCAACACCCACTCGAACGGAGCAACAACTGGCGCAGGGGCAGTTGGAGCCCCGAGCGGCTTTGCCCGCGGTGCCCGATGACTCCCGAGGGGCACCCTGGCTCCAGCGAGGCCGGGACGAGCTCCCATCAAAGTCCCGTCTCCAACCCGTCTCCAACCCCTGGCGAGGGGGCCGTGCCAGGCGGGCGAGCGTCTGCTCCAGGGATGCACAAAGAAAGCAGGAGCTGCAGGACGTGGAGGAGAACACCCCCAGGAGAGGCCTGCGCCCAAGGCTGGGCTCTTTGCCTAACAAACGAGAGCAGGCCGTGCTTCTCCAGGCAGATTAGGATCTGAACGCCTCCACGATCCAGCTGGAGCAACCCAGAAGCTGAGGAGGCTTTTCAGGTACCAAACACACAGAGCCCAAAGCACAAGGAGTTGAAGCAGAGCTAGCAGATGAAGCAGACAATTCCAAGCTTTCTGAAGGGTTGCTCTTGGGATCTGCCCTCCTCCAAAGCCGCCTTCTGCCCCCCGCATGGTCGATCCCTTTGCTTCTCCAGAACTGTGTCTGTTCCCGTGGCCACACTTCCTCCACTCAGGCCATAAACAGGTTAATTTAGATCCCACTGCTTGCTTTGCAGCTTACACACACAGAATTAGGGTCAGGCCCGAAGCAGGGGTGTATGCCACCAGAAAGCTGAGGTTCAAAGAGCTGGTCCAGGGACCAGGGCTGCGGCAGCTCCCCGAGCGCCTGCCTGGAAGCCAACAACACCCCACGGCTCAAGGGTCAGGGAGAAGCGCCGGATTCAGCAACAGGGCCCAGCGGAGCACACAGGCTCCTCCTGAAATTTTGCTGACCCTTCTAAGCTTGAGGAGAGGCCAAAGACTCAAGGAGGATCAAACTCAAAAACCACAGCAAGGAAACGCATGTCCGAGGAGGAGCCGCAGAAGCCACGGGGACGCTGCTCAGGGCTGCTGTGCTGGGTGAGGAGCGGGTTTATGAGAGCAGCTCCCAGCTCCTGCACGTCAAGATCTGCAGGCGCAGCGAGGGCTTCTCTGCCCTCCTCTGCTCAGCCTCGGTCAGGCGGACGCAGGCTCTGCCCGTGCAAAAAGACACGCCGCTGGGGGACAGCGGGTGACCCAAGGGACCTCGTCCCCACAACCCTGCTGGCTTCCCCAAGGCAACAAACCACCTTCTCCAGCGCTGATATGTTCGACATCTGGCCCTGTATCGAGCACCTTGATGGGCAAAAGCCTGTGCTAACTGAAGATGCAACCACGTCCATGCAGTCCCAGCACAGGGCAGGCCTGGTCTGGAGCAGGGGACGAGGACTCACAGGAGCATCCGCAGGCTGGCTCCACTCCGTCCCCTGGGCACAGCACTCACAGCCACGGAGCTAGAAAGCTCAAGGAACAAGACCAGAACCTTCCTTCTCGGTCACCGGGTTCTCGCTTCTTCCAAAGGAGAGGTCGTTGGCTAGAAAGGGCAAGACAAGGAACTGTGCTTAAAATGGGCTTGGAAAGAAAAAGATTCAAGGGAACGAGAGCCAAAAAAATCAACACAGAAAATAAGCGTATCCTGAACAGACGCTAACACAACACCAGCCTCTTGCAGGCTACGGCAGAGCCCCTCTGCAATGGATCAACCGTTACAAGTGTCACGCTGGGAAAGTCTCTCCCGACCGGTGCAGCAAATCAGGCCAGATAAATCCCTCTGCTCCGGGCGCAGCTTGCCCCCTCGGGAGGGAAACTCCTCCGCAGAGGCTGAGTGGCAGCTTGGAGTCTTGGTACCTTTATGCAGGCGAGTACCACAGGTCATGTTGCTCACACTCGGGGAGATGCTGAAGGGCCAACCTCTGTGCTCTGTCATTACTCACCCAACGGCACCACGACATTTCCACGTTCCCGGACAAGACGTGCAGCAAGTTTTAAAGGGCTGCTTCCCAGCTTAGGGCCATTACTCCTCCACCCTGCAAAGGCAGAGCTCTTGCAGCACGTGGCTTTCTTTCAGCGTGGGACACGGCCCAGAACCACCAGCATGAGCTTCCAACAGCCCAATACACAGAGAGCCACGACTCAGTTAACTCTCGAGTGCCCCAGGGAGGACTGGAGGCTGCTCGTGGTGCGAAGGGGCAGGTAGGGCCTCGCTGCTGGCTGGCAGGGGAAGGTAAGCTCCCTCTCACCCAGATCTGCTATTCATTCCAAGCGAATCTTTTTTTTTTTTTTCCTTTTTTTTTTGTTTTTTTCTTCCTTAAATTATGAACAGTATGGAGAAATTGAAAGCAACCATGTTTGGTCCAACTCCTTCCCTCCCAGCCCCGTTGCTGATGCTCGGTGGGGCTCGCTCTCACAACCGGCAGAGGCAGAAGAGGGTGGGAATGAAGACACCAAAGGCCACCAATATGGGGAACATGAGGCTGCTGTTGTCTGAGGCGTAGGGGTTTGGTGTGCGCGGGCCTGACTGAACTCGGTTCTTATTTGCCTGCTTTTTGACACTGGAGCCATCATCATATTCATCTTCATCATCTTCTTCCTCTTTTTTCTCCAGACCGGGATGAGGCTGCAGCTTTGGAACATCTGTTGGGCAAGAAAAAAAGGTTGTGAGGAGACACGATGGGGGAGCGGAAAATAAAACCCACTGCCTTGTTCTCAGATTCCAGGTGAGAAACACGATACCACCAGCTAAAAGGTCTCCACAAACCGCAGGGCCGCTGCCAGCATCCATTAGCCAGAGGGAATTTACCTGTGGCTATAAATAGCCAAAGCTGACAGGCACGTTCCCCTCTCCTCTACCCCATATGCAGGAAGACATGAACCTAAATCCACGCTTATTCTTAAAAAAAGACAGCTCTGCATCCACAGAGGAACGGGAAGATCCCTCACACCTATGGCAGACTAAGTGCTTCCTGCAGGGGCCTGGCCTAGAGCGAGAAGCAGTTTTGGCAGAGGAGGGTCAGCAAAAACTATGATCTCATGGTCTGAGAAGCACCAGGCTGCTCTCCAAGGAGAAAGAGGCGCCTGGCTCAAAAGCTGCACTCACCTTCCACTGTTCCTTGCAGGATGTATAGGGCACAGATTTTCGGATTGTCATAGTAGCCCTGGAGAAAGGGAAGAAGAGGGTCAGCGCTGCAGAGCAGGGTAACAAATATTCTCCCCACCTACTGTCACCTCTCCTGTCCCCCAGCACGGCTGCATCTCACAGCTGGAGGGAAAGGGAAAGAGAAATCAGGGCTCTGCCCAGCAGGGCTTGTTACCTTTACAAACTCAATGTGGAGCTTTCCCGTGAACGTGGAAACCTCTCCCTGGACACTCAGTTTCCCCTTTTTGATACTCATGGGAATGATCTCATCATGAGCCGTGCTGTGTCCAACTCTGTCAAAAATGTCCAAGTCCTTCACCACCACGTGGCCGTTCAAGCGCACATCGAACACCTTTGTGGGGGAAGAAACGACAGTGTCAGAACGGATTCAGGCACACGACAGTTGAAAGGGAAACAGAGCAGGAAAGGTCGGGGCTCGTTAAGCACCAAGGACAATGCGGCATCGCCTCTCCCACCACCCATCCTCCATTCCCTTGGGAAAGATCCAGAGCCCACGAGCAGCCAGTTAGACACTGAAGCACTGACACTGCTTGCAAAAACGTTGAAATCTACATTCCATTTTTAACATAATCCCCATTTCTGGTAACCAGGACTGAGGACAGCAGGCTTTTGCTCTGGCCGGCTGACACTTTCCTCTCTCAGCTTCCTACCCACTGGCCGAGAACCCGCTCCCACGCGGGTGCCGCGACGCTCCTCGCCAGTGGCGGGGCCGCTTGCAGCGAGCAGCCTGCGCGGCAGGGGAAGCGACGCGGCGATGGCAGCGGCAGCAGCGGGGCTGGCAGGAAGCGAGCGCTGAGCCGCTAACCACACGGGCGAGCTCGGAGCGAGTCCTCGCGGCGGCAGCGACTCGGGCTGCGCTCGGCACACGGGAAGTCCCGGCAGGACCATGGGAAGACGGAGCAGCCTAAAGGTGCCTCAGCCCTTAGGTTTACAGAATCAGAATCACAGGAGGTTTGAGGTTGGAAAGGACCTCTAGAGATCATCCAGTGCAACCCTGTGCTCTAGCAGGGTCACCTGGAGCATGTGGCACAGAGCGGCATCCAGGTGGGTTTGGAAGATCTCCAGAGAAGGAGACTCCACAACCTCCCTGGGCAGCCTGTGCCAGGGCTCTGGCACCCTCACAGTCAAGAAGCTCTTCCTCATTTGGAGATGGAACTGCCCGTGTTGCAACTTACACCCATTGCCCTTTGTCCTGTCACTGGCCACCGCCGAGAAGAGCTTGGCCCCTTCCTCCCTACATTCCCCCTTCAGGTACTTATACATATTGATCAGATCTCCTCTCAGCCTTCTCTTCTCCAGGGAAAACAGGCCCAACTCAGTCTCTCCTCGTATGAGAGATGCTCCAGTCCCTTAATCATCAATCCCAGAGTAGTTTTTGCATCCGTTTGGAAAGGCAGCCCCACCAGCTGTGCTCTGAGAAATACTTGTATGGCAAAAGGCCACACAGCACATCAGGAAAGCAGTCCATGAGTGCAGAGAAAGCCAGAGTAAGGCACATACCCCTTCCTTCTCAGTTTATCGCAAGGCTCCGAGTTCTTTGTGCTTCTGCCTCTGTACAGGAGCTTCCAAGGTGAACAAGGACCTCTCATCTCCAAAGTGCTCTAATGAGAGCGGAATTTATCTCTGTACTCTCAAGGTCAGTTTGAACCAGCACAGAGCTTTATCACACCCTCAATTTGTTTTCTTTAAGTTGATCTGATCACTTCCTCAATACCAAACGGGCACCAGTTCTGCTACCACAGAGATGTGGCAGGGGCAGGAACAAGCAAAGAGGGAAAAAACTCACAAACCCACTTCTCCTCAGAGACAGAGCAACTTAAAACAGATCTGATATTGGTTATGTTTAGCTGCAGGCATTTGCATGAGAGCACTCCTTTTGCAGAGCACTTCTCCAGGCCAAACCTATATCCAGAACATGGAAGACAGCTCCATGTTTCAGGGCACCCTCCTGAGAGGGTCTTTAGGGATGAGGTTAAATTTCATACCTCATTTTACCCCTTTCTCTAGGGCACAGGAAAAACCCCAGTGCATGAGACAGCAGAGGCTGAGGAAGAACTTCCCTGTGAGGGTGCCAGAGCCCTGGAACAGGCTGCCCAGGGAGGCTGTGGAGGCTCCTTCTCTGGAGAACTTCCAAATTCGCCTGGACACGACAGGGTGCCCCATGCTCTGGGTGTCCCTGCCGGAGCAGGGGGTTGGACTGGATGATCCCTAGAGGTCCCTTCCAACCTCAACCACTCTGTGATTCTGTGAGCAGAAGCCACCTGAACACGCCCAGTCCCAGGCAGGAATCGCACCTGGGAGCGGCGCAGGTCTCTGGCCCGGAGCCGCCGCTCACCTTCTGCTGCGACTGCGCAAAATAGACCTCGGCAAACTTCAAAACCAGCACGTAGTCGCCCTCCTCCTTGATGGGCACTTCGTAGCCGAAGGTCTCCTCGTTGTAACGCTCCGTCTGGTACAGGATCTGGTCTTCCGCGTTGGAGCGCAGGATTGGTAGCTTCATGCCGTAGTCAGAAGCTGAGTTTCAAACACAAAACCACGAGAGGAAAGGTTAATTTGAGGCACAGGGGAAGAGATTTTCCATGTTCTTCGGTGCTCAGTTCCCTCGGTGGCTGCAGCACTTGCTGCTCTAGTCCGACTGTTCCCGCTCTGCACTCGGATCACAAGGACGAGCTGCTGGAGCAGGAACAGGGGTAGCTGAAACCCCAGCACCCAGGTCCTGTGCAAGACCGCATCCTGAGAGCAGGAACCCACTCACACCATTTCAAAGTGGACATCCAGCTTCACACACAGGCCACAGAGCCAAAGGACTTGGCCATAAAATCCTGCTTCGAAGAGGAAAAGCACCTGGAATACTTCTGCAACATTCCCAGGTCCAAACTCTGCAGTACCCAAATAAAGCGCACGTGACAACGTTGGATTAGAAGTCAGTGGCACCGGGATTTGAGTGCCCCCCTCTAGGCTAACACGTAGGGGATGGCAGAAGGGCCCAAAGTGTCAGACACGTCTTACACAACCCCGTGTTCCCATCAGAGCCACGCGACACCCGTCGGCCTGAAGCCCGGGAGCGGGAAGGACGCGCGCCAGCTTCCAAAGCACCATCAGCTGCAGCTTCACGGCCTGAGCATCGTAACCACCGCGCTGAAAAGGGAGCACGGAAGGGCTCAAGAAACACCCCAAAGGGGCCGACACCTGCTAAAACCACCCACGGTGACGCTCGTTTCTCCTTGGTTTCCTGGTTTCTCCTTGCTGGGCGGTGGAAGGGAGCGTGGCGGCAGCTCCCCCAACACCTCCGCACAGCTCCGGTGCCCGGCAGACACCCACGGAGCCCCCGTGCGGATCGGGACCGAGCTCCCCGCCGGCACTCCCCGCTTCCGCTCCCCCTTCCCGCTCCCCTTTCCATGGGGACACACCGCGCTGGGCAGGACAGCGCGAGCGGGAGCGGCGGCCGGCGCCGCTGCCAAAGCGGGAGAGGAAAGCGATGCCAGGGCCCGTCTCCCGTTACACGCAGCCCCGCAGCCGCCTCCCCCAGCGCAGCCGGGGCGCGGAGGGACCCGGAACCGGCCACGGCGAGGATTTTAAGCCGCCCTCCCGCTGCAAGCAGAGGTTTCTGCCCAGCTGCGGGGCAAGGCCAGGGCTGCGCAAGGGCAGCAGCTCCTGGAGGAAGGGGCTGCGCGAAACGGGAGCCGCGGGGCAGGCAGCGAGCCGGCCCGGCCGCGCTGGGGCCGCTTCCCGGCTCCGTG